TGGTACAAACCGTACATTCGAGACGTTCAGACGACGGCAACTCGTTGCTGACCTATGATTCTATGGCAGATACGAGGACGTACATCAGATATGCCATAAGCGGAAGTCGCAGTGCGTTCGAGCCATGGTGCCAATGCCACCTACATGGTTCTGCGGAAGACAAATTCTAGAAGACAATCTGACCTCCAACCGACGTTAAAGTCTGAAAAATGCACCGTGGCAGTGCAACTTGAACACAGTGCCATCATCGGTTGAACTGAAAATAATGATCATCGTTTGCCAACGATGGCCTGCAGCAATCATCAAGGCCTGCCTGTGGGAAATGAAAAATTTATATTTACACAGCTACTTTCACCTTACGCCAGAATGAAGAACATGGGGAGTAATTTTTCATCTCAAAGTTGTATGGTTTGTATGCTACTTGCATACAGGGCTCTTACAGTAACCTCCAGACAGCCTGTAATACTATGCAAAGCAAAAAGATGATTTTGATAAACAAAATGGTATACATAAAAGTACACGACGGTATTATGGGTTTATTAGCAAAATATCTTCCCTTCTTCCTCCCCTTCTCATTTTCATTCTCTGTCGTGACATTATGTTCGGTAGATAGATTTTCACCACCAAATGCTTGGCTTCTCACAATCATGAAATGACATGGAAGCAGCATTCTATTGTTTCCAATTTCGTTGATGCTGTGCTCCTGCCTTACAGGTGCAGTGGATCAAACTTTCCAGTTTTCCTTAACAACCGTTCGTATTAAATTCACCGATCGCTAGAAAACTTGCGAGTAACTAGTTTCACTGCCTATCCGCCTCCGCTGCGGTACGTCTGATGAAATCGGGCGCAGTCTTTGATCATTTTTTCTGTTCCGGTTATGCTGAAGCAATTGATTATGTAATATTGTTTTTTTTTCATAAGTGATCAAGCTTGATTTATAACGTGATCTCGAACTCTTGCTGACTGCTCTATCGTATTTTGAGGAAAATACCTGTCGTTTTTACGCTGTCCTTTGTAAACACCTGATTTCAGAGAACTTCGCTTTGGTTTTCCTTATTTCCTGAAATATTTCCAAGAATTGTTGCTTCAGTGTTTTTCATGCTCTGAACATTATTTTTATTTTATTTGAAACTCCTGATAGTTATTGATGATCTAACGAGCTGGCTTTCCACAATCACAGAGCGTCTTCAGTTCGGATAATCGACAACGAATCTTTCAGAGCTCCATTTGCTTGTGTAGACAGCGATGTCCAGGAGGAAAACACCGTCACTACATAACATGATTCACAACGCAGTGCGCAGGAAACTACTGCATTGAATTATGTCCACCGGTACTTTTCATGTCGATACTGAAGGCTTTTACGAAAAGTAATTTCTGATCAGAGTGCCATATCGACAAAACTTCTTCCTCATCCAAACGAAGACTAATCATAAATGCCATCCTTCAGATCTCTTTCGAGAACCTCGAACGACGTTTAGGTTTCATCGGCTAATCAAGAAGCAGTGATATTCTGGGTTATGGCAGAAGGAAGAGTACTGATATAGCATTAGTAACCGGAAAATACCTCATTCCTTTGACAGAATGCTTTGATAGCCCTAATTTGGCTATCTGTCAATATGAATGTATCGACCTCAATCGAACACGACCGTAAGATTTACAGAAAAACGCGCATCGTTTCAAATTCTCTCTCCTCTCGACGATTTGAACGATTAATTCCACCTGTGAAATTATCGACGACTAAAAGCTGTCTAAAATGTTCACGTTCATGCTTGTGCATGTCATATAATTTTAACGATTATAACCGGCCACTGAGCAGATAATAATTGCTGTCAAACTTGCCGCCTTTGGAGGATTGGTAATTGAGGTGCGATGTGAATGGCAGCAATTCAAATCGTTCTGCTCATGACAGTCGTATTTCTGACTCAGCGTAGCGGATAGCATAATAAGCGTCAATTACAAATGTGCAGTGTCTTATAACCAGCTTACATAAGACTCGCGTGTCAATCAAGTGGGTCAATATGTAAATTTTCTCATAAAATATGTATCGTGCATATGGTTTTCTGCTCCTTATGCGACAGGCTGCTTTAATCCATCCTGAAGCGTTCTTCGCTTTGCAACACGGAACAGCACTGTGATTATTCCATTTTTATGGCAGAAATAAGTGCGTACTGAGGTGATTCTTTTACCCAGGTGTATATGAAGAATTAAGGGGGTCATTATTGTAGTTTTAGCGGAAGTACTTGGTGCCCTCTCATGCATTTCGAAGCTCACAACTTTGCCTACACTGATCACGAGGTTTTCCTCGTGAACAGGGCGGGCAAAATTTGCATACACAAAATGAGCAGTGGGAAAACTCCGTATCAACTGTTGTAATGGAACCAGTATTGACGGCAGGCAACTGCATATACTTCGCATAAGACACAGACGAGCTTCGACAGATGATCGACCAGTCGCGCGCCGCTGATTTGGAGGCTAATCTCTCCAAGACGAAACGAGTTCCAGATTGGCACTATCCTGAGGACTGTGTCTGGGCGAATATCGAGGAACTCGAAAAAATCACCAAATGCATATATTTCGGTCGTGCGATAAACCTCATTAACTCACTATACGTTAAAATCAGCAAAAGACGGACGACGGCCGTTGGCGGATTCGACCCCTATGAAGCACCGCTACTCGACAGTGACCTGCAAATTAAAGTAAAGAAGGAAGTGTTCTTCAAGCCGCTCTGTTTGGCATGATCTGCCATGTTCTACCTGTCAAATACTGGTCTGCTGCCAAAGTCGAGGAGAACCAACTGGTGGCCACTCAAAAGGCGATCGAGTGAAGAATATGGAATGTTTCCCTCAGGCATTGCGAAAGTTGACCTGATTAACGTAAGTGGTTTTGCCTTGTACGGCATTCGGTCCGAAGTGCCGGTGTTGTGGTTTGCCTGAGAGAAAATCGACGGATGCAAAAAATTACAAACTGGATTCGTCTGATCCTCAAGTGGTCCAAGAACACGTTGAGACGGTCTGATCTTGAACTTGCTTGGTCGGCAGCGGAAATGGAGCATATGGGAGGAGGGTGGACTCGCGCTCTGCACTCATTCGTAATGAGTACAAGACGGGTGGCAAATAACAAATCTTTTCATCAGCGCAACTGTTTCGAGAACGATGTATTGTTTTGATTTTGCCGATGCCTTTGCCACGCATTAAATGGCAAGATTGTTCTGGTGATGGCTTTGGTACCGGAGACCCAATATACTTAAAATGATTGCGTTTGCTTTAAACCATTGCATAGCTGGAAAGGCAAACAGCGGTTCATTTTACCCCCGAGATGGTGGCTATTTCTAAGATGATAAAATTGCAATCGGCTGGCAAGGAGAGACGGAGTAACAAAATGTCGATATGGTATAATTGTTTGCTTGTTTGTTGTTTTGTCACTACGGACACGATGATTCGTTTTGCTGTTTAGGTTATCAAAATGCTGGTGATAGTAGTGGCCGTTTTCACACTGTGTTGGCTGCCTTACGAAATTTACCTGGTGCTGAACGAGGTGGCTCCTCAAGTCAACGAGTAGGCATGCTGTTAATTTTTTGAGATTTGAGAAGAGTTTAGTGAGACGTTAATCGATTGGTTAGTCCGCTTCATGTCTGTTTCAGGTATTACTACATAAACGTGATATTCTTCTGCTTCCATTGGCTGGCGATGAGCAACTCCTGCTTGAATCCGATCATTTACGGGATTTATAACGTAAGTGTGGACGAAGGGCGAGTTTGCCTGCCGGCCTTGTAATAGTCAGCGTTGCTTATGTACAGAAAAAGTTTCAATACGAATACGCGCGGGTGTTCAGAAAGTGTTGCTGCAAACGGATCCAGATGACGAACGAAGACTCGTCCAGCTCGAACGGGTTGAACAGCGTGAAAGGACAGTTCCGGGGCAACACTGGCCTGGAGTTCGTTCGCGCCAGCAACTGTCACATATACATCTTCACCGAGCTCGGCAAAGACGTCACCTAACAGCCGTATGTGCGGAAGTTTCGGCTATGCTTTCAGGTCCTGTTCGAATCGTTCGTCCGTTGCTCTGGCAGACAATGGTTTTCTCAACGGCAGTTCCATCAGATGGTGGTCGGCAACACTCGCTTGGGCACTGTTCGGTTCACACCTGGCAACGGAACCAATCGATTTGGCTCGTTCAACCCAGCAGAACACCCCCTGCCGAATCTGGGCGACTGTGTATTCATGAAACTAGCAACCTGATCAGAAGGAAATCGTATTTGCTCTGTGTTTGTTGCTCGCTTACGTTTACTGGTAATGATTCAATTCTTCAAAGAAGTAGTAAAATACAGGCAGGCAGACAGACATGTTGTAAGAACGCTCGAGTTGTCATGAACGTCGTCCGTTACACCTTTTTCGCGGACGATTTAAAATGCCACGGTCTCCAGGGACAGTGGCATAGCACGAGACAGAAAGCATCGCACCAAAACATGCACAACATGAAAGCTACAACGACGAGGCAGGAGAGTCTCTTGAAGCAAATAATGCCTTTGGAAGCCGCATACAATGACTTGTTTCCTAAAGCGTGAGTGATGCCGAGTCACAGCACTACATCCAAAGGGTTTTAAGTGAAAACGTACCGTCATTTGCCGGCTCTGCGGTTTCCGCCAGTGACGGTCGAATCGGACCGGAAATACAGTCGACGGTGACCACCAGCATCGACCGCTCCCGTACGGTCGTGGCTTCACGTCTAACGGTCGCCATAAAGCCATTGTCTCTTGCTGTTCGTGCGTGGCCTGTGGTCGGGTTTCGTTGCATAGCGTCATCCTCGTTGCATGAGGGCTAAACCGCAAACCCCGTTGCATCATTAAAGCCAGCTGAAGCAAATCATTTAAACTTTTCCATTTTTCACTCAGCTGATCGACGAGAAACATGGCCTGTGTTGCAACAGTGCAGATAGCCTGATGTCAGTCAGAGGTATAATTTCAAAACGTCAGGCATCATTAATCTGGGTTGATTTATTGTCTAAGCTGTGCTAGCCTTCAATGACACAATCAACACACTTCCAACGCCCACCACAGATGAGCAACTAAATGATGTCTTGATACGTGCTTAAACGTCCAAATGTAAAGTAACCACGGTGCAGCGGCAATAGGGACAGAAAGCCTTCCCCACAGCTCTGGACTGTTACAGACGAACTCAACAAAAATCGAAACCTCCCACCTCTTCGGCCAAGATGATCACTGAGCTATGGGCCAATACATTTCGGTCAGTACATCATGTGACAGGTGGTGTGAATTGCGTGGTGTATAAACGAACTGCGTTCTGCTGTCATTCAATAATTATGTGAATTTTGTCTTAATATTCGATAGCGATTTGGCTCATGATACCGAAGGCATCTACTGTTTTTCAATTCTGACCATATTTTTGCTAATGGCATGAAAATCCTTTGACTGATGACTAAAACGTCACAACTGTTTTTTAACGTTAGGACATGGTAATCATGTATCAAGAAAATTCATTTTCACAGCCAGCTATTCCATTCAGTTCGTGAGGACAGCTGACTCATGACGCTGTTTCATGACCCCTGCTCCTTTTCCAATCTCAGTAATATGGGTATCGAAATCAAAACCGACAATGTCAAGTCTCTCTGAAACGGAACAGTATGGTCCGTGACTTGATGTCTGTCTTTCCTGCGTATTCCACCCCTTCCCAAGAGAATGTATCTAGCGACTTCTCCTCTATCATCCTCACTGTCTTGCAAATCTTGCGATGGTAATCTGTTGACCTGAAGAAAGGGTGTAACAAAACCATGGCTAGCTTTATTGAGTCTCGTTTCAATACCAATTCTTCCAAGAAATCTCATAAATACTCAACTGATCGTTCAGATTTTAATACAGCCAATATTATGTCAGGGTGAAGATCATGCTTTCTTGAGAATTTTTGAACGAGCTTTAAAATTCAGTAATCGTCGAGCATATGCCAAGTTACTGGCTCTAATATTCTACTGGACTATTCTGGTTATCTATTAAGCAGATTATGGCATTTATAAAACAGTACAGTAATAGTCTGGGTTTAGTAGCAAAAACTGGTTTTTGGTACCGCCTGTCAATGTAAGATATGCGAAGGTTTCACCGGATTCGCGCAGCAGCACAGCTGTTTATGAATCGTGTCGAGAACAACAATATTTATACCATGTGTTCATTGCTCATTGCCATAATCCTGCTCACTGCAACATCCTCCAGCTGCTTACTGTCTTAAAATAGCAACGACTGCGTTGGCTGTGGTGCATGTTGAGACGTCCACCAGACGATATCACATCCATTACATCTTGATTCCTGGTTGGTGCCGAAAAAGAGGTGGACAGGTTAAGAACAGGTGGGATACTGTCGAAGCTGGAGCTCGAACCTCTTCTGGGCCGCCAGGTGGCGGAAACTGCGCATGATCGGCAGAGATGAAAAGCAGCAATCAGGAGCGTCGGTGGTGTCGTCTAATATACCGGTGATAAGAGCCAAAACAACACCGTTCGCACAGCGCAGTCGTACTGTAGCCTTGTTTCTAGTCGACTGCGGAGCAGTTATTTGGCACAAATCAGCCTCCATGATATTATAAAAGCAATGGCAGTGTACAGATGCAAAATTATGTTATTTTTCAAAAATTCATTTTCATACATGCGTATTAATTCTCTGGAAATCAGCAGCATCTACACAGTAAAGAGCTTATTCTATAAGACGTGTCACGACAGCTACAAAAATGAACATTCTACGAGATAGTGGCCACGAACAGCACAGCTGTATCCAGTGATTATATCTGTGCCCTAAGATTGGCTGATGTTCACAAACCAACACAAAAAGGTGCATGTCTGAAACAAGACCAAAAACAGGAAGACGACCGAATGAATAAGAGTGCAAACAAAAGTCTGCGATATCATTTTTCGAGGGAAAAAGTTATAATGGTGATTGGCAGGACACGTTGCTACCGGTCATCGCTGTAACGAAGATATCTTAGACCGGATTCCAAGAGATAGCGAATGACCTCAGGAAAAACAGCTATTGTATGCAAAATGAATTGATGAAATTTGCTAGTCGACGTGGATGTGAATGACAGAACGCTGAAATTGATGGAAAAGAATAAAAGAAACCTTCAACCATCCTTTTGAAAACGAAACGATCACTAAGGTGGGGTAAAGTTAGAATTCGAACCCGTTCGCATTAATTCAAAAAATGACGAATACATGGAAATTTCAATGTCTGACGCTTAAATGCGATCGCCGGAGAATTTTGCTTATCAGTCATAATAAAAAATAACAACGCAAATTATGCAATAAAAACATCCCTTGTACTAAATAACTTCTACCTTCCGTAAGCCTTCCTCATGCTTAAAATCTGTGGCGACAGGTTCAGAGTCATTGGATGAAGGTGAGAACTGACCTGCCAAACAAAGCGTTACAAAGCAAGTCTGACGTCTGACGAATGGCCTGGACTCGTCAGTGGGTACACTGCCGATTTAGGGTTTCAGCTAAGAATAACGCACAAAACAAGAACCCAGGATGTCGCGTGTGGAACGTCTTTGTGCCGTGGGATCATCATTGAGCTTGGTTGTTTGGCCACAGATCGAGACCATAGAATAGCTCATTGAAACAGCTGCCTCACCCCCCCCCCCACCGATGTAAATTGCTAGCATTGAAATGGAAAAGGAATCAGCGAAAAGCCTCAAATGGCGACAGAGACAATAGCAACCCTCTGACTAGTGTTGTTCCGTCGGTAGGACTGGGTCCTGCAGTGACTTCTTGACGTTCGACGGTATATTAATTTGTGGCAACCCTTTAACTCTCTGAGTCACTGAACAGCGAATGAGATTCGTAATCTGAATTTACTCCATTGACCTACAACGCAATCAGAGGTGGAGTAATTGCTGTGGACACTAATTGGAGCATTATGAAGTGTAACGCAAAGACCGAAACCACTATTCAAATGATACAGACGATGAAATTAGTGCAATAACGATTATAATGGCAGACCCCGCTGTTACAGAACCCTGAATCGTCCATGTTCTCGTAATTCGTCTGTCTTGGAAAACCTGTAAAATTTTATGGGGTATTTTACCAGTTTACTGATCCATGAGCGTTCGCTTATAATTATTATTCTGATTAATGATACCTGGCACATACAACCGAATGTAAAATAAATGTTATTAAACCGATGTCTTAATAAATAAAACAACGATAATAACAACATGGCTCCTTTCTTCATTATCGGTTTTGTCTGAAGAAGTTTTAACGATTTTATATAACTTGTCACTTTATATATAAATATAATTTTGTTTATGAGATTGCTTAAGATTTAATAATACTTGAAAGGGCGACTACGTAATAAACGATTAGTTTTTGGCCGTTCTACTACTTTGCACTTTCGCGATTCAAACGGGGCTTACGGTACGGCACAATTGTCAATTTCTATACTATCTCCTAGAATTTGTATAAGTATGTCTTCGCACTGTTCGTGGATTTGGTTGCAGGCAATGCATTATTGTTTTCTGTCCTGGTGCTTCGCTGCCAAATGTCATTCACGCTCCTCTGCGACGTTATTTCTTCTCCAGCTTGTTCGTTGA